CCTGTAATCCCAGCACTTTGGGTGGCCGAGGTGGGTGGATCACCTGAGGTCGGGAGATGGAGATCATCCTGACTACAGGATGAAACCCTGTCTCTACTAAAAATCCAAAAATTAGCCAGGCATGGTGGTACATGCCTGTAATCTGAGCTACTCAGCAGGCCTGCTGAGGCAGGAGAATGGCTTGAGTCTCGGAGGCAGAGGTTGCGATGAGCAGGGATCATGCCACTGCACTTCAGCCTGGACAACAAGAGCAAAACTCCATCTCAAGAACAAAATTGAGCAAAACAAACAAACAAACAAAAACCCACAGCCAGTCACAAAGCAATCTGTTTGGACCATGCAGTGTAAGGCTTTAACTGTCCCAAGAATTCCAATAGTGGACAAGGAAGAGCTTAAATTTGCTTCTAAATCTGAAATTCTGGAAGTCAGCTTGAATATTGTGGTAGGCATAATAATATCCCCTCCTCAAAGATGCCCTGGTGCTAATGCCCAGAATCTGTGAATATGTTCTGCTGTCCCAGGAAAGGGAAATTGCAGATGGAATTAAAGTGGCTACTCCATTGATTTAAAATAGAAAGATTACCATGGATTATCTGGGTAGACCTGGTGTAATCACAAAGGTGCTTACCAATGGAAGCAAGAGGTAGAACAGTAGATGTTGGAGTGTTGGGTTGTGAGAGACTGGCGGGCCACTGCTGGCTTTGAAGATGGATGGGGCAACCAGCCAAGGAATGGTGGGCAGCTTCCGGAAGCCAGAAAAGCCAAAGAAACAGGCTCCCTTCGAGCCTTGAGCCTCGGAGAAGCCTGTATCCCTCAACTCCCTTGCTTTTAGTCCAGCGACACCCATTTTGGACTTCTGATTTTACGAAACGGTAAGATAGTAAATTTGCGTTGTTTTACGTTTGTGTTGCAGCAGCCGCAGGGAATGAATAGAAATATTGTCTGGTACCACCCAGTAAAGCTGCCCAGAGACGGGAAGCCGCGCTGGTCATGGGAGCCGCGCTGGTCATGGCTTCACACCCGGGCAAGGCTCCCGCGGCCGCACAACCTCTGCAAGCAGGATCAAGATGAGGTGCGCAGGCCAGGTGCCGTGGCTCACGCCTGTAATCCCAGAACTTTGGGAAGCCTAGGAGGGCCGATCACCTGAGATCAGGGGTTTGAGACCAGCCTGGCCACCATGGTGAAAACCCGTCTCTACTAAAAATACAAAAATTAGCCGGGCGTGGCGGCGCACACCTGTAATCCCAGCTACTGGGGAGGTTGAGGCAGGAGAATCTCTTGAACCTGGGAGGCGAGGTTGCAGTGAGCCGAGATCGCACCACTGCACTGCAGCCTGGGCGACAGAGCAAGACTCCGTCGCAAAAAAACAAAAACAAAAACAAAAAAAGAAAAAGAGAAAAATGAGAAGCGCGTGCCTCCGTCTGCGGTGCTTTTTCGTAAGGTTCCCTGAGCCTTCTGAACAACAAATCTGGGCACCAAGAAAGTTGAGCTGCGCCGTGGTGGGTCCGTTATCTGCACGGGATGCGCGGGCTTCTTCCCGGGACACCCAGGGCGCGGCTCCGAGTCCCCCGCACGGCAGATGCGGCCCAGATTTGGCCGGGGGGCCCGGGGCTGTGGAGCCCGGGAGCCCGGCGGGGGCGGGAGAAGCCCTTGAACATCCAGGACCAGGGGGAAGGTCCAGCCGTCGGAGCAGCAGCCTCCCCACCCCGGCCCGGGGGGCGCCCGGGAAGCCGCGGGAGGGGAGGAGCCAGGCGGAGCTGCGGGCTGGCGGCCCTCGGGGGTGAGTCAGGGGGAGCAGTGGTCGGGTCAGGTTACTTCCCTTTAAAAGGACGTGAGAGGAGGAGTCCGGTGCTGGCGGGGCAGGGACAGGCGGAAGCTCGGAGCCCGCAGGGGTCCAGCACCAGGCAAGTGGGGCGGGAGGGATGGGCCACCGGCGGGTGGGGCGCGGGGCCGGTGGGGGCGTGGGAGCCGTTGGGGGCTGCGGGACCGGTGGGGACGCGGGGACCGGTGGGGACGCGGGGGACGGTGGGGGCCCTGGAGCCTTTGGGGTCTGCAGAGCCGGTGGGGGCCGCGGGACGGGTGGGGGCGTGGGAGCAGGTGGGGGCTGCGGGACGGGTGGGGGCGTGGGAGCAGGTGGGGGCCGCGGGAGCCGGTGGGGGCTGCGGGGCCGGTGGGGGCACCGGCACAGAGGGAGCTGCGAATGCGACGATCAGCGCGCGCAGAGCTGCAGGTCTGCGGCCGCGACGCCCCTCTTCCCGGATGGGTAAACTGAGAGCCGGGGAAAGCAAATAATTCTTTTGGCTGAGCTCCCGCTACGACCTCGCGGCCACGTGGGTCCCCAGCGAGACTCGCTGGGGTCGGGGGGGGGGGGCGGCTAGGGAGGGGCCCCCAGCTGGGGAATGGCCCAGGGTGGGTCGGGGCGCCGGGAGCCTGGGGCGGGCGGACGGGGAGGGCGGCGGGTGGGCGAGGCGGAGGCGAAGGCGAAGGCGAAGGGCGAGCCGGGCAGGCCTCGGTGGTCGCTGCGGTTCCGGAGGTGGCGGCGGCCGCGTGACCAAGGCTAGGCTCGGAGGCCCCTTCTTTACCCTTCGACTCCCTGCTTCGGTCTAAAGCCTCTGCCGCAGCTCTCCGTGAAGAGGGAGGGGAACCCCCAGGTGCTCCAAGCCACGTCCTCGCTCTCCCTCCTACAACCCACCAGGGTGCAGGGGCCGGTGAGGCCTGGGGGTTGTGGTGCTGACTCCATGCCCTCCCTGGAGAACCACTGACACAGACCGAGGCCCGCTGCAATCTACTCTTGTTCTGGGAAGGGGTCCCCCAAAAAGGGCCAGTGGGGTCCTTTCCCCAAATGCCCTGGAACCCCCAGCAGTGTGGTGGGCAGGGGCTGCCCAGGTGGGCTGCGTCCTGGGGTTTTGTGACCTGAGTCCCACTCCTCCCCACCTCAGCCTTGGACTGCCCAGGCCAGGCGGTGCGTGGGGGTGGTCAGAGCCCTGGTCTCAGGCAGCCCTGAGGTCTGATGTGGCTTCCTCCCCAGTCTCTAAACCCATGGGTTTTCCTGGCCTTAGTTAATCTACCTGTGAAGGGGAGGCTTGGACCACAGGGCCACTCAACCCAGGTGTTTTGGGGTGGGAAGGTGGACGTGTAGGGTAGGGGTGGAAGGCCAGGAGGAAGTGGGGCAGCCTGTGTCCCACAGGAAGGCTGGCTGGTCCCACTGGGTTCGGGGGAGCTGGGCCCATACTGGCCCTCATCCACTCTCGGCCAACTTCCTGTGGAGCCCTAGAGTCCCAGGCCACACTGTGAGTGCAGAGAGGCCACCCAGAGTGCTGGGGCGATTCACAGGTGGGGAAACCGGCTCAGTGGCTCCTGGTGGCACAGCCCCTGCCCAGCACTTCCTCCAGAGCCTTCTGGGGAGTGGGGCGCCAGCGCTAGGCATTCTGAGGACACAATTAACGTCCCCATGTCCCATGGGGCCAAGGCATTGGAACTGAGTCCTGTTCCTGCGCTGTGGCTCTGGTGGGAGATCTGGGACCCTACGCTGGGACTCCTGGACAGTCCTGGAGCAGTAGCATGGACAGTGTGTCAGTGCACACCGAGGCCCTGGGGTGCCCTCGCCCACCCCTAGCCTGGGCGCCACCCTGGGTGCCTGTCACTCCTGGCCCTACAGTGGTCCCAGTCATACCTCCGAGGAGGCAAGATGCAGGTCCTCCACGAGCCTATGTCTGGAAGCAGCCCCCAGCCCTGGTCTGGCCAACTGGGTGCGTGTCTCCTCCTGTGGTCTTCAGCTCCCCTGGGCACTGCCACAGTGGATGTCAGGGTAGTTTGGGAGGACATTTTGAGGAGGCATATGCAGTCAGGCTGTTGAACTTGCTTCGAACTAGCTGTGTGACCTTGGGCAAATCACTTAGCCTTTCTGTGCCTCAGTGTCCTCATCTGCCTGGTGGAGCATACAGTAGGTAAAACTGAGCACCTATTATGTGAAACTGACGAGCACCCACTATGTGCCCCACCAGGATAATCACCTCCATTTGGCAGATAAGAGTTGCCAGCCAAGATGTGTGGCCCCACCCGGCCCGTCTGTACTTCCCCCACCTACAAAAGCCTCTGCTCCTTTCCCCTGTATGCCCTGCATTGGGTCAAAGAGGCTGATGGGAGGCAACTTCCTACTGGGGCCTTCTGAGGTTCTTGCAGGAGGGGCAATGTCCAAGGCTCCCAGAGGAAGCACCCTGGGGTGATGCAGCTGTGGGTGGAGGCCTCAGAAGCCTGGGAGAAAGCCAGGGGCCTGCAGGGACAGTGTGTGCCCTGGCCCAGCCCCAGCCTTGTCCCTGCCCTTCTCACCACTGCTCCTTCAGAGCAGACGTATGAGCCCCAGGTTGTCCCTGAGCTCGCAGCCTGCCCAGCCTCACTGCATGGGATTGGGGGGACCTACCCAAGGATCCTGTGGTCAGGGTTGGAGCCAGGATCACACAGCGGCTTACCTGGCTCAGCTCTCCTGGCCACTGCCCCTCCCCAGCTCCTGGAGTCTTCCTATTGGAGTAGAAAGCATCTTGCACCCCACATCTGAGACCAAGCAGCCTTTTCTCACCCACAAGTGTGGGTATCTTCCACACTTGTGACTGTGCCTGAGATACGTTCTGGCATGAACGTTGTCAACGTTCATGTTTTTTGGTTTTGGTTTTGGTTTTAGTTTAGAAGAACTTAGGTTTTCTGGACTAAACATTAGGCAGGGAAGAAATACATGAACCCACAGAAAGGATGCTTTAGTTGAGGTGGGTTGAGGGCACGGCTTCTACCCATCAAGATATTCACAGTGAAAGGAATGTGTGCAGGCCGGGCACAGTGGCTCACGCCTGTAATCCCAGAACTTTAGGAGGCCGAGGCGGGTGGATCACCTGAGGTCAGGAGTTCGAGACCAGCCTGGCCAACTTGGTGAAACCCCGTCTCTAGTAAAACTACAAAAATTAGCTGGGCGTGGTGGCAGGCACCTGTAATCCCAGGTGCTTCAGAGGCTGAAGCAGGAGAATCACTTGAACCCGGGAGGTGGAGGTTACAGTGAGCCGAGGTTGTGCCACTGCACTCCAGCCTGAGTGACAATTGTGAGACTCTGTCTCAAAAAAAAGAAAGGAACATGTGCATTTTGCTCACCTGCAGAAAGAGCCCTCACCAGAGACAACCCGCAGTGCTGCCACCCCAAAATCATACAGGATGGAGCAGCAGTTCCTAAAGTGGGTGCAGCTGGGCAAGAGGCTTTTAGGGGCTACCTAGATGAACAATTTTTTTTTTTTTTGAGACGCAGTTTTTCTCGTTACCCAGGCTGAAGTGCAATGGCGCGATCTCGGCTCACCACAACCTCCGCCTCCTGGGTTCAGGCAATTCTCCTGCCTCAGCCTCCTGAGTAGCTGGGATTACAGGCATGCGCCACCATGCCCAGCTAATGTTTTGTATTTTTAGTAGAGACGGGGTTTCACCATGTTGACCGGGATGGTCTCGATCTCTTGACCTCGTGATCCACCCGCCTCAGCCTCCCAAAGTGCTGGGATTATAGGCTTGAGCCACCGCGCCCGGCTGATGAACAATTTTAAACCAATAGTCATGAATTGTTAATATAAATTAGCACATCCAACCATGATTTTATTGCTCAGAAGGAGGCTAAGTAAAAAAGTGAATCGATTTAAAGAAAAACACGAAGTAAATAACCACAAAGGTGGCTCCAGAGGCGGTTTGTGCACAGCCTAGAAGCCCAGGAAGGAGCATGGGATGTGGGAAGGGGGAACCGGTCCTGAGGATCAAGGCTCTGACATCCCATCCTTCACTGCTGTTTCACATTCTGGCATCGATACCCCATTCCACAAGCACATGTTGCCCACCCGCTGTGTGCCAGGTGTAGATATGGCGCACCTAGTGCTACCCCCATGGAGGCACGTGGAGGGCTGCCTGGAGTAAGCACCACTGCCCTGAGCTTCCAGGGCAGGTGGGCAGTGGGTGAGGCAAAGGCAGGAAGCGTTCCAGGCCCAGTGTGTGTGTAGGGAGGAAGGGGGAACGAGGGAGAGAACAGGTTGGACTTGAACTAAGGGCACAGAGGTGACTGGGGAGAGGCTGGCAATGAGGCCAGAGAATCACTGGGGCTGCGTCACAAAGGGCCTGTAGGTCATGGCAAGGACTGTGGGTGTCATCATTCATTTAGCCAACACGTATTGGGCTCCTGCCTCGTGCTAGGCATGGAGGGGCATACGAAGCCACCAAGCCTTCCTTTGAGGTGCTCAGGTGTAGTTGCAGGCTTTTGAACACATCAGTAGCATTTTTCTTTTTTATTTATTTATTTTGTTTTGTTTTGTTTTTTTAAGACAGGGTTTCACCATGTTGGTCAGGCTGGTCTTGAACTCCTGACCTCAGGTGATCCGCCCGCCTTGGCCTCCAAAGTGCTTGGATTACAGGCGTGAGCCACTATGCCTGGCCTTCTTTTTTCTTTTTTGAAACAGTAGCTCTGTTGTCCAGGCTACAGTGCAGTGGCATAATCTCTGCTCACTGCAACCTCCACTTCTTGGGTTTGAGCGATTCTCTTGCCTCAGCCTCCTGAGTAGCTGGGACTACAGGCATGCACCACCATGCCTGGCTAATTTTGTATTTTTATTAGAGATGGGGTTTCGCCATGTTGGTCAGGCTGGTCTTGAACTCCTAACCCCAAATGATCCACCTGCCTCGGCCTCCCAAAGTTCTGGGATTATAGGCATGAGCCACCGCACCCAGCCTCAGTGGCATTTTCCTAAGTGCTGTTACAGAGGTGGGAACTGGAGATTAGGGAAGCACAGAGGGGAGGCAGGCTGCTGTGCATGACAAGGCAGTGACATTGAGCTGGGTTTTGATGGATGAGTAGGAGTCTGACAAGAGAGAGGAAAGGCATTCCTGGCAATGGGAAGAGGATGAGCAAAGTCACAGAGGTCTGAAAAAGCCCAGGTGATTTAAGGAGATGCTGGTAGCTGGGCAGGTGGAGCCTCAGTGGAAAAGAGGACAGGCCAGAGGGTCAGGTTCACAGAAGGTATTAAGGCCTAAGCCAGAGTCCAGGTTTCATTCTGCAGGCAGTGAGGGGCTGGGCACCAGGTTTTTTTTGGTTTTTTTGTTTTTTTTTTTTGAGACGGAGTTTCACTCATGTTACCCAGGCTGGAGTGCAATGGCGCGATCTCGGCTCACCGCAACCTCCGCCTCCTGGGTTCAGGCAATTCTCCTGCCTCAGCCTCCTGAGTAGCTGGGATTACAGGCACGCACCACCATGCCCAGCTAATTTTTTGTATTTTTAATAGAGATGGGGTTTCACCATGTTGACCAGGATGGTCTTGATCTCTTGACCTCGTGATCCACCCGTCTCGGCCTCCCAAAGTGCTGGGATTACAGGCTTGAGCCACCGCGCCCGGCCCTTTTTTTTTTTTTTTTTTTTTTTTT